ATAAGGGAAGTGGCGAGAATGATAAGAAGAGTTGGGCTAAAGTGTAATTAGTAAAATGTTAAATTAGATTTTTAGAGATAAAAAGGGATTAGTTGAGCTTTTGAAGAGGACTACGTAAAGTTAGAGTTTTTGGAGAAAAATAGGTTAGGGCTTGAAGAGAGAGGGATTCAAACCACAAACCTTAATCGAATTTTGAACTAGTTGCTAGGAAAATAAGGTAGGGGGAGAGGGAGGGGGGACTACTTTGTATATTTGTGTAATTGATGAAGGATAGATAGGGATTCCCACACTCCTCTAGCTTTTCCCCTATTTTGTCATTGTTGATTATATGTGAATTATTTGTTATGAATACATGTAGATTCTATTATGATTGATGTTGTGGTATGAAATTCTTATACTGATTTCATGTTAATTTCATGTGAAACTATGTGATTAAATTATGAAATTTGGTGTTTTTATGAGTTAGGTTGCAATTGTTGAAAGTGATGATGATTTTAAATCAAATCAATGTAATATATATATATATATATATATATATATATATATATATATATATATATATATATATATATATATATATATATATATATATATATATATATATATATATATATATATATATATATATATATATATATATATATATATATATATATATATATATATATATATATATATATATATATATATATATATATATATATATATATATATATATATATATCAATATGTGCCTAATTGAGTATAAGAAGTTCTTCCTCATTGGGGTCGAAAGCAGAGCTTTGATTGGGCTCCAATAGTGGAAAATCGTGGTTTTGATGTTTTTGGTCAAAGTGATCTCACCCAATGAGGAAGAAATTCGCTTAGCAAGAGCTCACCCAATGAGATGTTCATAGTAAGAGATTTTAGGTTCTGTGATGCACGCTCAGCGAGCTGTAGGTAACCTAGCGATGGCGACAGTGCATAATTGAATTGTTTCGAGTTAATTTGTGGGACATTATGTTGTTTTGGCGATTAATGGGTGATGTCTTGTATTGTTTGAGATTATGTGCTTCTGTTTGATGTGAATCAATGCATTTTATTGAATTGATAATGATTATGCATGAAATGGTTGAGTTTATGTTGATTTTAGTTCAATCGATTAATGATGAGATTGTTATGATGATTGATGAGTAATTAAGCAGATGTTTGTTTAAGTTTTGAATACATGTTGTAAAGTTCAAGTATAATTATATGAATTATTGTAATTACTTGCTGATGATTGTTGAAATACGTAGTTCAGAGTGAGAACTACAGTTGATGCGTTTAAAGACATGCTCATGTACAGTCAGACATGAGGCTGTAATATTGTTGTGTTGTTGTTGTTGAATTATTGTATGCCATACATCATATGTTATTGTTGTTATGAAATAGGCGAGTCACGAGTTTAGATGTTGAGACTAGTGATTTGTCTAGAGCTCAAATGAGGGTGCTTGAGGGTTCAGATGTTGTGACCTAGTTCATATGAAGGACCATCATTGATTGGTACCGCATGCATATATCAAATGTCATGAGTCATAATATATATATATATATATATATATATATATATATATATATATATATATATATATATATATATATATATATATATATATATATATATATATATATATATATATATATATATATATATATATATATATATATATATATATATATATATATATATATATATATATATATATATATATATATATATATATATATATATATATATATATATATATATATATATATATATATAAAATGATGATGGAAAATACGTGAGATTGAAATGATGTGGTTTGTGTGTTGAATATGTGATGTGTTGTATGTTTATCTACCATCACATTCTTTACGTCGTTTATATTGAAGTTTATTCTCACCATTTTGCTTTATGTTCTCCACCATGGACATCTTACAGATAGTCAGGAGTAGAGTTTTGTTGCTGTGAATGGAAGATAATTTCTTGGAGCTTACTTTCATTTATTTATCGTTCTATTGTATTTTAGTGGTTTAATGCTCTGATCTTGTAACATCGGAGATTAGAATTTTTTATTATGTTTGAGCTGGTGTCGAATTATGATGTTAAAGTTTAATAATTTATTTGAGAAGCTCAATTTAAAGTTTTTTTTTGTATTAAATTTCACTGCATGTTGTTAAATGTTTTTGAGAGTTTTGTTGATTGGCTGTCGAGGTGACACCTGAAATTGTTGAGTAATTCTATTTATATAAGTTTCAGAGTTTAGGTTGTTACACTACAAGTTAAGTAAAAATACATCTCGACAAGTCTATTGAAAATAAGTCATAAACTTTTAAGTTCGAAGCAATTTTCAATACAACTATCAGTGTGATGCTTGGTTTTTCAATAGTTTTATCAGTGAAGACGTGTGGAAACGAGTTAGAGCATGAAGGCCTAAGTAGTGGGATACATGTCAAATTCATAGGCTTTAACCGTTGTTGGTGGTTATCTTTATAATAGTATATGATGTAAGCTTATGTATTGTAGTCGGGGTCGCAAATTCTCATATGTTCTCTTTAGAACCAAAGTACCCAAGTTACAGAGCTAAAAAATTTATGAGAAATATGTGTATGCGTCCACCTTTTAAGATTTATGCAAATCTTTTATATTCAAAGCATTTACATTAAATGTGATTCACTTCATTTGTTTTGTTTGTCGTTTATCATCTTTACCCAACGTGTACAAACCAAATATTTGATAATTCTGGAAACTAGATGTGACCCAATGAAGCTTAACAAAATATTTTGAAAGCTTGGGTTTGATGATACTATTTCCATGAACAATACAAGCTACCCTGGAGGTATTGTTGATGGATGGAAGAAGGATAAAATTAATATAAATTTGTGCCACAAAGAACATCAATTCTTGCATATTAGGATATCTGAGTAGAATGGGATGAGTTGGTTTCTTACAACTATCTATGCAAGTCCTCAAGAGAGCAAAAGGAATGATCTATGGGATGAGCTAAAGAATATTTCACTGAATATGCAGGATCCCTGGTTTCTTGTTGGGGGTTTTAATGATATTGCAGGAAATAATGAGAAAAAGAGTGGGGCACCTGCCTCTGTACGAAGTGCAGAGTTTTTTGTGATAGAATCAATGATTGTAAGTTGATAAATCTGGAAACATCCAAGCCTAAATTCACATGGAGGGGACCTATCTTTCATGGGGGCTAAAGGATATATGAGAAGCTTGATAGATCTTTAATGTGTGTGAAGTTCTAATGATAATGTAATGGTGAACCTAAGGAATATGAAAGAAGAGATCCAGCGTTGGAAGCTTCTCAATTTCAACCAGGTCGTGGAGAAAAAAGAGAGTTAATGGCAAGGATTAAAGGCATTCAATGTTGTATGCAAATAAGATCAGCTGGAGAATGATTAGTTCATTTAGATAAAAAGCTTCAAAATGAGCTTAATAATATTCTTGGAAGGGAAAAGCTTATGTGGCATCAAAGGTCTAGAACTGAGTGGTTAAAGGGAGGAAATAGGAATACGAACTATTACCATTTGAAAACTATTAATAGACGATGAAGAGATAGGATCACAATGTTCAAGGATGACAATGGGTTGTGGATTGAGGATAATGATCAGTTGAAAGATTTGGTTAATAGTTTCTATAGGAAGTTGTTTGCTCTCAATTATAATTGGAAGATTCAACAAAATACCAACATCCATTTTCCTATAATGCAAGAATCGACTTTAAACAATTTATAGATGCCTATTAATAATGAAGAGGTGAAAATAGCGGTTTTCGCAATGAAGCCTTGGAAGGCTCCTGGACCGGACGGGTTTCCTGCTGGTTTTTATCAAAAGTTGTGGAATATGGCGGGGAGACATGTTTGTGATTTTGTTAAAAGAATTTGGACCAATCCTAGTTGCATTGCTGAAGTTAATCAAACTGATATTTGTTTGATTCCTAAGGTGCTCCAGCCGATTAATGTTGCTCAATTTCGGCCAATTTCTTTGTGCAACACCTTGTACAAAGTGGTTATTAGAGTTATTGCGGGAAGATTAAAAACTTGCATAGCTTCCTTGATATCTCCATATCAAACCGGTTTTGCTCCAAGAAGATCTATACACGAAAACATTATTATTACACAATAAGTAATGAACATAATGCAGAAGAAGAAAGGCAAGAAATGCACGTTTTCAATAAAGATTGATTTGTCTAAAGCTTATGATAAGCTCAATTGAGACTTTATTGCACATGTGTTGAGGGAAGCTGGAATTCCTGATTGTATGCTTAATATCATTATGCATACTATTAGCATTATAGAGACCAATGTTTTGTGGAATGGAGCTAGGAGCGAGACTCAACGAGGTATTCAAAAAGGGGATCCTATTTCTCCTTATTTATTTGTGGTATGCATGGATAAGTTATCCCATATTATTAAGCAAGAGGTGGTGCAGAAGAGATGGAAAGCAATTAAAATGGGGAGGAATGGTCCGCATATTTCACATTTAATGTTTGCAGACGACTTACTTATGTTTTGAGAATCTTCTGAAAAATAATTTAGGTGTGTGATGAAAGTTCTCCGAGATTTTTGTTGTATATCGGGATAGGAGGTTAGTATTGACAAGACTAGAACGGTGTTCTCCACAAATGTGAATAGAAACATCAAGATCAAATTGTTTCAGATTTCTGGTTTTAGAGAGACAAATAATTTTGGAGAATACCTTGGAGTTCCATTGAGTGGAAGGAAATTAAAGAAAATGGACTATCAGTATCTAGTGGAGCAAGTCTCGATGAGGCTTGTGGTTTGGAAGACTAACGCTTTATCTTTTGCAGCTAGAATGACCTTGGCGAAGAGTGTCATTGAAGCAATTCCAACTTACCCTATGATGACTAATCTTTTGCTAAAAGCTTGTCTTGATGAAATTCAAAAGCTGCAACGCAATTTTATCTGGGGCGATACAACGGAGTAAAAAGAGCTCCATGCAGTGACTGTAATCCTTTCATGGCTGAGTTATGGGGTCTCTTTGAAGGCATCAAACTTGCTAGCATGTTAGGTTTTAAAAAGGTCGAGGTTAATGTGGATTCCAACTTGGTAGTAAATGCTGTTGAGAGAGGTGGTGCTTATATGAGGGAAAGTTTGGCCATCATTAGGCAAATTCAGAGGATGACTTTTTTTAAGGAAGTTCGGTTGGTTCACTCCTATAAGGAAGCTAATAGATGTGTGAACGCCCTTGTCAATACAGGGTGTAGTTTCAGTCCTAGTTTTGTAGTCTTTGACTCAATGCCAGACTTTTTAATGAGTCTCTTAGATGCAGATGCTAGAGATCTTTTGACCGCTAGATTAATGTGTGTTGTTCGTTTCTTTTTCGGGCCCAAGGCCCTATCCGTTACAAAAAAAAGTCTAGCGTTTACATTCAATTGGTCACTACTCAAACATTTAAACCCAAATCACACACACTTTTCAGTATAGTTTTTCTTTGCACATATTGTCTTTGAAATTTTTCGAGTTAGTCTCTTAAATGAACTAAACTCGTGATTGTTTACTAAAAATATCATTAAACACATAAGAACACAACTATATTCATGTTCTTATATATCCGTATTCTTAGAAACAACCAATAAAGAGAAATTTTTTGTATAAAAATTTAATCTTTTTTATTGAAATTATGGGATGGTGGTAATAAGGAAGAAAAGAGAAAATTTTGTTTTTATTTTTTAGGATTAATTATTTATAAAATTCGTTTTTATACAAATAATTTTCTAATTTTCTTATGCATCTACACTACTGATCATTAAATTATTAAAAATATTTTACTTCAATCCTACTAATATAAAAAATATCATATATATGATGATTATAATTTATATTTGTATTAAAATCCGCACTAAAAAAAATTAGATTAGATTAATCTTAACCATCTATCCATTTTAAAATCACTGTCATTTTAATAAATAAATCTTTTTAAGAACAATTCCATTCTCATATTTTAATAGTAATAATTATAACTCTCTAATTGTATCCTTTAACTATTAAAAATGGATCTTAAACTGGAGGGATTAATAAACAAAGCGGAAATATTTGTAGTTCAATGTTGAATATTATTCATAATGAAAAAAAGACTCAACTAATTCAAATTACGCCTTCGTAATTGATTTGATCTTCGTTCTCAATTTCAATCCAAAATGGTTCAGACATCAATCCCTCATCATAATCACGTGACATTGGTATTAAAATCAGCCATATATTCAAGAATCCTTCTATTAACCCTAATCATCTTCTTCCGAACTCTACTTTCCCCATACGACACTTCCGCATCCTTAAACCCTCCGTGCCTCACCACCACCACCGCCGCCGCAAACGGCACTCGCCGTTCTCCCATCGCTTCCGCCATCGAAAACGGCATTGTTTGGGACTCCGTTTACTTTGTTCGCGTCGCCGAATGTGGCTACGAGTATGAACAATCCTACGCATTTTTACCTTTCCTTCCTCTTACAATTTCCTTCCTCTCTCCTTCCACACTTTTTTCTTTCCTTCCTCAGAGATCTCTCTTCGCGATTTCTGCTTATGTAATCAATAATCTCGCGTTTGTTCTCGCTGCTCTTTACTTTTACAGGTATTCACTCACTGTCACTATTCCATTTTCTTCTTCTTTTTTAGTTTATTGAATTTCGTTAATTATTGCTGTATTGAATTTGATTTGTCTCTAATTTTGTTCTTTTACCTTCTACAGACTTTCTATAGCTATCTTGAAGGACCCTGAAATTGCATTACGTGCTACAGTTTTGTTCTGCTTTAATCCCGCTTCTATATTTTACTCATCAATGTAATGTTCTCATTCTATTGTATTTTACTATATAAGAGTTTTACAAGTGCTTATGTAAGCTTAAAACAAGTTCTCATAAATGGAAGTGTGATTTGAATCACAAGCTTTTTATGGTAATAAGCTTAAAACAAGTTATGGATATGTCATAAGCTGTTTTCATTAGTTTTCTCTAAAGAGTCTCAAAGTGCTTATAATCCAAACATGTGCTAAGTGTATTTTGAAATTGATTGTATGAAGCGGTCAAATGGCGAGTTCTTATTGGTTGTTAGTTAGTATAAAATAAATTTGAACTGACAATGCATGCCCCTTTAACTCTATATAATTTGTAATATTCAAATTTTGCTTTGTGATTTGGATATTGATTTGTTTGGTCTTGTTTTTTGGTTTGAAATGTAGATACTCAGAGAGTTTGTATGCTGTTCTTAGTCTTGGAGGATTGTACTACTTTGTATCCGGAAAAAATAACTTAGCTGTTCTTCTTCTTGCTCTCTCTGGTTGTGCAAGGTCTAATGGGGTGCTCAATGCTGGTTATATCTGTTTTCAGACTATGCACCGAACTTATCATGCACTGTTTCAAAACAAGAATGTTACTGTGAGTTTGTTGCTTCTTTGTTCATCCATGACATTTTAATTAAGTTGCTGTGTTGTTTGTCTCCAAGAAATGATTTTGGAAGGATAGTTTCATATTTTCATTTGCATTCAGGCATTCTTTTCAAATGATTTTATAATTGTAATTGACCTAAGAAGCACTGTGCTCATATTGGTAATGGGTTAAGCTAAAGTATCTGATCTTTACTTTATTTTCTGTTTCTGAGTTTGGACACCTGAATGACTGCTTCTGGCAATTGCATATTTACAACAAACTTGGCTGCTAGCTATTTCCAGTTGAAGATATAAACTATATCTGCTTCTTCATAATTTGGTTTAAGAGGGAAGGTTTGGGTGTGATATTGTAAATTATAGAGTAGAAAGTAAATAGACCTCGAACTATTAGAATTTCTCCATTAATTTAGGCCTTATTAGTCATGTGCTATAAACTGACACAGGCACTCACTAGTAAGGGCAGATATTTTAAGATTGATTTCCACGTCTACTTGAAAGATAAAAAAAAATTATCGATCATTATTACTCACTCCATATGATAAACGTTATTTCTTGATTGATTAGGTTGTTTTGCCAGTTGGCTCTGCAGATTGTTTTTGTTGGAGCTTTACGTAGTGCATGTATATTTGCTCCATTTGTAGCCTTCCAAGCTTATGGTTACTACAACATGTGTGTTGGGCGTTTTCCTGATGAAATAAGGCCTTGGTGCAAGGCAAGGGTACCGTTGCTTTACAATTATATTCAAAGTCATTATTGGTATGTCCATTTTTTTGTTCATGTTCATTTTCTTCTTCTTTCAAGTAATGCTATTATGATGCATTTTCTTTATATTCTATCTATATATAGTTGTATGTTTAAATATTAAGATGATCCAATGAACGTTGTTAATTTATGGTTGTCCAGGGGTGTAGGTTTCTTGACATATTTTCAGCTGAAACAGTTGCCTAACTTCCTTCTTGCATCTCCAATACTATCTCTGGCATTTTCCTCAGTTGTTCATTATGCTAAGTCAAGGCCTCAGATCTTTTTCTCGCTGGGTTTTGACACTACTATCGAAGAAAAGAGCCGCGGAGTTGTGTTTTTGTCAGAGGATCACTCAAGGTTCAAAGTAACTGGCAGTGTGGAGAATTCCTCTGTTAGAGCAGAAGGTATAATTCTGAAATTGCAGTTGTTGCCTGCTTGGAAGTACACTGTCATTTGAGAAATATTCTGAATTAAAAACTACATTGCCCGCTTGCACTTATAAGCTACACTTTAATCTTAATACATTATTCTATACTGCATTCAAACACATATGAATTATGATCTTGTGCATTTGCATATATAATCTATCATTATCTTTGCAACTGTAACACAATTCACTCCGTAACAGAACATTTCAATGTTAGGAGGAGGAAGAACGTAATCAAAGGGGATGTTTCTAATGTTCCCATAGAGTCTGAGCCAGCAGCAGGGCAGGGATACTTGTCTGCATCTGTTCTCCCGTTTGTGTTGCACTTGGGATTCATGGCAGGCACTGCTTTTCTTGTCATGCATGTACAGGTTTGTGCCAGCTGTCTTGCTGACTTCTGCTTCTGTTTGCCATATTACTTAATATGAGAAACTGACGAGTTTCATCTTAAACTTTTGTTAAATAATTATATTTAAGTCATGGTCCTGAATGTTGCTTAGATATTCTAACTTGACATGAGGGTATCCTTGGTTGAGTTCAATCGAGGAAGTGAAAATGAGGAAATGAAAATGGCTATATTATTTGGACAGTGCTGTTGATGGCGGAAGGCCAATGGCACCGTCACTACGGGCATTCCTTCATAAATTGCCTATGGCGGTTGTCAAAAAATCCGCCATGCCATGACTGCCATTTAACAACACTGGACACGGAAAAATTGTAGATACAGCTTTCATTTTCATTCCCCCATTTTCTGTTTTCCCACTTTTACTACCCACTAAATCTTTAGTCAATTCCTTTAGTATCGTTTTGTTGCTCGAGAATGGCCGCGGTATTTTAATTATGAATACTGTGAATTTCACATTTATCAGGTGGCAACTCGTTTCTTGTCTGCCAGCCCTCCTCTTTATTGGTTTGCTTCATATATAATGACATACCCTGCAAAGAACCACAGATGGGGATACCTGGTATGGGCATACTCTGCAGCATATATTCTTCTTGGCAGTTTACTATTTTCAAACTTCTATCCTTTTACATGATAAGATATAGACAAATGGTTCTCTTTGAATATCATGAAATGTTGCAGCTGAATTTAAGATGTCTGTTAGTTTCTTTGCCATTTGGTGGTTTCTATTTGACCGTATTCAGCTGGCATATATCAGTAGTGGGGAAAATGTCCCCTACAAGTAGTGCAGCTTGTAGTTTTTAATCATTGTAATGATCTAGACTTAACAAAGTCCGATTTTTTTTCCACGTTTGTTTATTATTTGTTTCCTGTTAAGAAGTTTCAACATATCATCATTTCCATCCTACGTGTATTTGCATTTGTACACACCGTACTAAATGGAGCTTTAAGAACATAAAACTGTTTCTTTTGCGGCCAATAACTGTTTGTTCTTGGAAAAATGAGGCGCTCTTACTTCAGAGGTAGATTCAAATTTTCTTATTTTTGAAATTAAAAGTTTCCTTTTGGAATATGGTTGCTACATACTTTTTAAGAAAATCCTTTTGACGATAAATCGGTGATACTAAGTTATTATTCTCAACTCTTAAAAGCTCTGAGGGCCAGTTTGTTTTGACTTTTCTTAAAAGTGATTTTTATAGAGTAAATATAATTTTGAAGAAACAAATTTTTAAAAAAAACTTCTCATAAAAAATTTGGATATCAAAATTTTAAAAAAATCATTTAATTTTAAAGCTATTTTAAATAGGTTTTCATGAAAATCATTTTTGAGATACAACTTTTTTAAAAAGTTGTGATTTCGATTATGTTTTCATCTTCAGTTATGTTGCAAGATATCAAAATTAGTCTTGCAATTTAGAAAAAATGAATATAGAAAAACTTGTAATATTTTAAAAAAACGATTTTATAAA